GTATATTTCCCCAGTTAATTCAAGAGATTGAAAAACCTGTCGCTTTAGAATCTCTCCACTTTATTTGTTTGGGGGTGGGGCGGGGGGTGGGTTGGGTGGGGGTGGGATGCAAATTCACTATAGTAAAAACTTCTAACTGTTATTCCAGTTTGATACAATTACAAGTAAAATGTTTATGCAGATGCAATTCGAGATAAAAGTAAGACAAATAAACCATTTACCTTATGGTCGAATGCGACATTTGCGGTATGTTATTCACCCAAAAAAATAAAATAAAGAATCTGGCCTATTTCTCCAAAAAATTGAAAAAGAAAACATCTTCTGGAAAAAACCGCATGATTCCCTTCAATAAGGAGTTCAGGAGTAGCTTTGTTGACTAGAATTTTCTTATATACATTGTTGTGATCTGCTTATATTTAAAAAAAAGAGCATATCGTGCTTAGTGAAACCGGAGTTACAAGACCCAAAAAAGGAACAAATAAAAAGATAGTCCTGTGCTAGTTACCGAGATCCCAAGATGTCAACTACAGAATCTACATTTTCTGTTAGAGCTTCTTTGCACCAAAAATGAAACAAAAATATACAATTCATGATGATCTTGTGATCAGAATTTGCTATTCCTTCAAAACATCTGAAGTTCCTTTCCTTCCAAATTGTCCAACAAATGCATGCAGGGACCATGTTCCACCAAGACTTCTTCCTTAATAGGTTGGCTGGATTATTCCAGCATGCTATCATTTCTGCGGTTGTCCTGGGCATTGTCCAATTTAGACCTTTCAAACTCATAAACAGCTGCCGTAACCTTGCTGGTTACTCTACAATATAGAAACAAGTGACTGTTGTTTTCAACTCCCTCTCACACATAAAACATCTTACTATCATGTGTTAAGACAGCCTCCTTGACCACTAAACCAGCAGAAACATGCCAATTTGAAAGGGATGTTCACCTTCCAGATGTGCTTCCAGTGCCAAGGCCCAATGTGCTATATAATCATATCTGTTCAGCACCCCATAGACCGACTTCACAGAGAGAACTCCTCTGCTATTCCTTTTCCATATTAGACTGCCCTCTCCCCCGCCCTCCTCCGCGCGCGTCGCGTCGTCGTCGTCGTCGTCGCGTCGCGTCGCGTCGTCGTCGTCGTCGTCGTCGTCGTCGTCGTACGTACGTACGTACGTACGTACGTACGTACGTACGTACGTACGTACGTCGTCGTACGTCGTACGTACGTACGTACGTCGTACGTACGTACGTACGTACGTACGTACGTACGTACGTACGTACGTACGTTCGTAACGTCGTACGTACGTACGTACGTACGTACGTTCGTACGTTACGTCGGTTAACGTACGTACGTACGTACGTTACGTTAGTACGTACGTACGTACGTTACGTTTAGTTAACGTTACCCTACCTTCCTACCACCACTAAACCAATAACCTTACTTAACTTACAACTCGTAGTTAGTAACGTAAGGACCTACCGTTCCGTACCGACCTAAACCCTAACGAACCAGAAACCAAGTACACGACTTACGTAAAGGTACGAAGGTTCTACCGTTACCACGTTACACGTTGCGTTCCTACGTTCGACGTACCGGACCCGAACGACCTAGGTCCGTACTATTAATACTACTATACTTCGTTCTAGTCCACCCACCTACGACGACCGTACCTACACGACGAGAACGACCTACTCGCTACGTTCCTTTCCTCCTTATACGTTACTACGCCTCGTACCCCCCCCTCCCCCCCCACCCCCCCCCTTTTACCCCCCCCCCCCGGTTTTTTTTTTCCCCGGGGGCGGGGGGGTCGGGGGAGAGTGTCCTGCTCTACGGTGTACCTTTGAAAGCCTCCCACAGTTTTAGAAGTTCAGTCGCGCTAGCAACCTCCCAATCGTTTAGAAGTCTTCTGAAGGTAAAATTTCACCCTTGTTGGCTCTAAGTCTCTGCCACTGTTGCTTGAGGAGGTTGCACTAATTTGAATAGATCTGGAAATATGTCTTTGAGAGGACCATTTCCAATCCAGTCATCATTCCAAAAAACACAGCCTCGACCAGATCAAACCAGGTCATAAGGATCTAATAGATTTCCCACTTACCCCATAAGTAGTAGAAATTTCTCTTGTGCACCAGTGTCCCTCTACCCCATATTTCTCCTTGATTACTCGTCTTCAAGGAGCCTGTTTTCTAAAGAGGGAATCTCCATAGTCATTTCATTAGTAAGCTTTTGTTGTGTTGTCTCAGATTCCTGATTCCAAGACCTCCTCCTTGCTTTTTGTCGAAGTCTTCCATTTGACTAAATGAAAGCACCTCTTCCCCTTGTTTCCTTGCCAGATAAATTTTTTCCTCAAATGTATCAAGTTAGGCAGCTAGGTTTTGGTTCCATGAATTTTGATTTTAGGATCATTCAATCACATAGCTGGGTTGCATCTTTATAGCAAGTTAACAACCATGACTTGAATGACCCATTGTGTCGCAACAACTTTCGTATGGCGAGTTTGGACCTAAAATGCTACTTGACCCTTGATAAAGTATGTACGTTGCTTATGAGATATTGAGATATGGTACACTTCAGAGATAATCTTCTGCTACAGTAGAATGCCAACATAGTTGAGCTTTTCGTGGTTGGGATATTTTGCAGTTTTGGTTCAATTTGGTACAATTCCTCATGTCAGTGGCCATGGAACATTAGACTCAACTTGATTGTTTCATGTTCATTATGCAGATCGCCTCATGGAGGAGCGATGAAGATTTTGAGAATGCTCTGAAGAAAGCTGGCTTGCTCTAAGCTGAATAGAATCTGCTGCCTTTATTGGTTAGCAGAGCTCAGGAGGTGGATGTGCTCCCTAGATCACATTTATTGAGATGTTGCCTCACTTTGGTGAACTCCTTTTTGACAGTATCTGTATTTCACTGCGGTGGCATTAGCAATACAAATTGTAAATTGATGACATGTTTTCAGTTATTTGGTCTTGTCAGCATGGTTGTTCGTCCTGTCTTGGTAAATTTGTTGTATTCATTTTCTCCCTAAAAAAACGACTTTGAGTAAAACAGACTGGTAATGCTGGAAATGGCTCTTTTACTGTTGCCACAGCAGAGGCCTAGAGTGACCCTGAAAAGCAGAGGTTATTCGAATGAGGACCGTTGAATGCACTACCCAGCTTGGGATTTCTATTGTTCTCTCTTTCTCTCTCTCAGGCTTGCTGTATACTCTTACGATATTGGATATACTCTATCCATTAGGTTTTCTGTTATTCTCTTTCCTCGAATCTAGCTTGGAAATTTATATTTGCTAATTGCTTTCGTCTATAACCTTCGAATTCACCTTAATTGGTTGAAAGATGACCATTCACGGCTTGCTAGCACTCATCAAACACAAAGATGTGTTAGGTTACACATCTACTAGTCGGAATGAGCCGTGAGCCAATATAAAGGGAAACTACTTCCCTTGGCACCTAGCACGCTTGGGGTGGTAACAGATATGGAAAATTATAATTCGGGGTGGGTGGGGGGTGGGTTGTAATAAAGAATATTTTTGTTTAACCGTACAGGTTACAAACTAAGTCAAGTTTAAGTGGGATATATACCTTTAATCCTATAGCAAGAAGAATGGTAAGAGCAGGAAAGTAAAGAGAGTAGGAAGAGGGAATTTATGTAAGGTCACAAACTTATAGTTTGACACTGTTAAAGCTAAACTTAAGTTTCCTTTGAGCCAAATACGAGCTACAACTTGAGATGCAGTTGTCTAACCACGAATAGTTTATGCAATAACAACAATATAGCGCTTAGCGGGTAAAATCTCACAAGTGGGGTCTTGGGAGGGTACTGTGTATGAAGACCTTATCCCTACCTTGTGAAAGTAGAGAAACTATTTCTAATACCCTCGACAAGAAGCAGTAACAACAACTAAAAAAAAATAAGATAACCAAAGCAAAGAATAACAGGTAATAATAGAAAATTAAGAATAAGAAAATACGAGAGTAATACTAATACTACTTGCATGAAAAAGAAAAATACGTGACTATCTGCTAATCTACTACCTTAATTTATGTCTCTATATAGTTATCTACGTATACAATCATACAGCCACAGTACATCAGCATCAACCGACCAACTAGTCGAAAAACATCCAAATAAAGGTCGATAGCACCAACTGAAATTCTTGTTACATCACATAATATTCTAATTAATATCTATATGCATAACTCTTACAACAAACTCTGCCTTTTTATTCTCATGCAGACATCAGTCCTCCACTATAGTCGCACTCTTATTATTTTCTCTCTATTTTATCGTCCATTTAACTTCCAGTTGTTGCAAATCCCACCACAGCTTTGGATCCTTCACATCTTCTATAGACCTACTAAAACGTCATTCCAAGAATATATAATTAAAAGTATCCCCATTTTATCCGAAATATTTTACAACTACCTCCACCTAAAATATACCTAAAATAGTGGCTAGGATTAATTGATGAGGTAATATATTAGCACGTCTGCAGTTCTGGAACTATCTATTTATTTTAATAACTAATAGTCCAAAAATCAATGAAATCGTTTTTTTCGAACAACCATATCTCGATTATAAGTCTCTTAGAAATATGATGGTGCTTTCTATATTTGAAAAATTAACTTATAAATTTTTTCGTTTTATCCTTAATAATATATTCTTATAGCCATAAAAATATCATGACAGATTCGACACAAATTCCCCAAAAAGAACTTTCGACTCAAACTTAGCAATATTTAATACTATATCTAAATTAAAAATTAAGTAAAACATACGTACCAACCCTTGCAGTTAATTAGTTGAACCATTCAAAGTTTTTTTTGGGGGGTTTTTCTTTTCTGAGAACACGTTTAGCTTTGTATATGACAAAATTCTTAAACAAAGGGACAAAACCAAAAAAGATAAACTTAATTATTATTTTTTCGTTAATTATATAAATGGCTAGAAGAAAGAGATACTTCAACAAACATACTATAAACTAGTTCAAGTTTCATTCTGATGCAGACCTTCACACCATCTTCTTAAAGGCAAAAACCTCACAAAATCACAACCAAATGTATCTTTCTTCATTTGGGCAAATTAATATGGAAAACATAAGAGAGAACAATCCTCCAGTTTCAACTTCAAGATCTTTTTTTGCCCCTTTACTTGTTTCAATGATAGGCATATTTTGCACAGCTTTAGCATTAGTAATATACCATTTCATCTTAACCAAATATTGCCTAAGGAGAAGTACACAACAAACCATAGACAGTACTGTTCAAAGGCCAAATTCTGAAACCCATAATTTAGCCAAGGGAATAGACCAAAAAATCTTGGAAAAAATCCCTATTTTGGCTTTTAATTCAATCCTCAAAAATGGCCTATTTCGTGTAGATCAAAATGAGTGTTCTGTTTGTTTAGGTGAATTGGAAGATGAAGAAATGGTCCGTTTGTTGCCTAATTGCCGGCACGCTTTTCACGTGCCATGTATTGACCAGTGGTTCGTGGCGCATGCAAGTTGTCCCGTCTGTCGTTCTTCAATAACAGAGACTCATGTCATGTATTTATTGGATCCCCTGCCAGTACTATCATCGCAGTTCGTGTCAGGAATTAATCATGAAAATTATTCTTCTTCTTCTTCGTCAAAATTACTATCTCATGGTATGCTTAGACATAGTGTATCATTGGTAGTACCTAATAAAGAGAGGAGATTATCATCATCACAAAGAAGATTAATTCCAGGATTAAGGAGATCATTATCGTTGGATCACTCTTTTATAGTCATAAATAGAGAGAAATTAGAAGAAGATATATTATTAAGGAGCAAATCAATGAAGAATAATTATGATGGGGTTTCAACAAAGTTACTGAGGTCCTTGTCACGACTTCGTATGGGAAAGAGAAGTTTAATTATTCCCTACTGATAATTCATTAATTAATTTCTCTCAGTTCTTAATCAAATAACTTTGTAGCTAGCGATTTGTTCAATAAATTGGTGATATAGACTAGAAAGTGAATTAATTTTAAATATTTACTCTCCTTGCTACCCTTTGCCCTTGGATTTTCTAATTGGTCAAGAAATCAAACTTATTGATTTTTTAACTTATTCTTTTTAGTTGAGTAGTTTGTCTCTATTTTTGCTTTTTAAAATTGTATTAGCATTGAATCATATCCTTGAAACGCTGAAAAGGCACATATATATAAAGCATATTTACTTTCCAAGATAATGCCTACCCGTATCGAATTTTCCAAAAATACACTATTTTTGAAGGATCCGACACACATCTAACAAAATATTCGATGTGTCCGAACAACATTTTGTATATATAATGTAATTTTCTGTCCCACTAGTTTCGCCCTGCCTCTAAGTCATACCTTTTCGAGTACAACGCCCAATCAGATGAAGTTTGAGGTGTAAGGTTCAATGAGGTACTGGACTGGACTTCTGTAATTGGGGTTTCTAAAGCTACGTACCCTCCACTTTTGGCTAAGAAAATACATGATTAATGGTAAATGGTTTGAGATGCATGATTATTAAAAGATAAGAAACATGTGTAATTTAAAAACAGATGCAGTTTTTTGTGACGTTCTGCTTCATGGAATGATACGAGGGATTGTTACACAAATAACCGATCAAATTTAATATTGTTATAAAATAATAAAAGAAGAAGAGCAATATTGCAGAGAAAAGTAGGGAGAGAGAATTCTTATTGAATTTTGGGATGATTTACAATGGGGTAAGACCCCTCTATTTATAGGGGAAAAATGACTTAGCCTCAAAGTAAAACTCTCTACAAGATAGACATTCACTCCAAATAGAATTCTATTCAAAACACTCCCCCTTGAATATCTACTCAATAAGTAATGTGCCTCATTAAAACCTTAACTAAAATAAAACCCAATGGGAAAAAATTCTAGAAAAGGAAAAAAAGTACACATATTTAATAATACGCCTTTTGGTTGCCTCGTTAAAAACCTTGCAAGGAAAACCCAGTGGGACAAAACCTTGTAAGGGAAAAAGAGTACAACGCGCATTAACTCCCCCTGATGAGAGCATCAATTCACATCCTTGAGCCTTCGCATCCCGATCTTGTACACTAGCTTCTTGAAGGTTGACGTCGGTAGAGATTTTATGAACAAATCAGCCATATTATCACTTGAACGAATCTGTTGCACATTGATATCACCATTCTTTTGAAGATCATGTGTGAAAAATAACTTTGGTGAAATGTGCTTTGTCCTATCTCCTTTTATGAATCCTCCCTTCAATTGAGCTATACATGCTGCATTGTCTTCATACAAAATCGTGGGTAGTTTGTCACATTTCAAACCACATTTGTCTCGAATAAGATGTATTATAGACCTCAACCACACACACTCTCGACTTGCTTCATGAATAGCAATTATCTTAGCATGATTAGATGAAGTAGCCACAATTGATTGCTTAGTCGATCGTCAAGATATGGCAGTGCCTCCACAGGTAAACACATAACCTGTTTGAGACCGAGCCTTGTGTGGATCGGTTAAATACCCAGCATCGGCATAACCAACAAGATCGGGACTGCAATTGTTGCCATAAAATAAGCCCATATCGGTAGTCCCTTTTAGATACCACAATATGTGTTTGATCCCATTCCAATGTCTCCTTGTGGGAGCATGTTGAGAAGAAATGTAGAGGATTGGACGGTTGACGGTAGGTGTTAATTGAAAGTTGCTATAGACTTTTGGAGGGTTTATTACATGTTTGAGGAAGATCGAAATTTGGTTTGGGGATTATTTTGAGCCTAATGAGAATTTGTATTTTGTATCGGATCGAATTTGTTTGTTCTTGCACAGTTGTTACCACGAGTATATCATCGGACGGAATGGATGTTATTCGCTCCATGGTTTGTGTTATATATATATTTCTCTCTCATACTATAACGGGTTGTGAGTGTTACATGATTCTTCATACGCATATGTGATTCAGTTTAGGCCTCATGGCATTATGGGTGAGGTAGCCTTTGTGATGTGGATTTTGCTTATTNCAGTAGTCGGAGGCCATGAACAGCTTCATTTCCGGTATTATGACTTGTACGCGTGGTCGGAATTGAATTTCGGGAAGTTCGGAGTTGATTTGGGAAGAGAATCCTCATTTCGGAAGCTTAAAGTTGAAGAATGAACTAGGACTGGAATTTTGAGTAAACGACCTCGGAATCGGGAGCTGAAGGTTCCAACAGGTTCGTATGATGATTTCAGACTTGAGCGTATGCCCGGGTCGGGTTTTGGATAACCCGGGAGCGGTTTGGCGCCTAATGTGGAAGTTAGCATTTTAGAAGGAATTTCTTAAGTTTGGCTTGAAGTGCATTTCAGTGTTATCGATGTCCGTTTGGGATTCCGAGTCTGGGAATAGCTCTGTATGGTAATTCTGCAGTTGGGAGCGCGATCGGAAGTGAATTCGGAGGTCCGTAGGTCATTTTGAAGCCATTTGGCTAAAGATAGAAATTTGAAGGTTTTTGAAAAGTTTGACCGGAGGTTGACTTTTTGATATCGGGGTCGGGATCCAATTCCGAAAGTTGGAGTAGGTCCGTAATACCAAATATGATTAGTGTGCAAAATTTGAGGTCAATCGGACGTGATTTGATAGGTTTAAACATCGGAAATAGAAGTTGGAAAGTTCAAAGTTCATAAAGCTGGAATCGGGGTGTAATTCATGGTTTTAGCGTTGTTTGTTATGATTTGAGGCCTCGAGCAAGTCCGTAATGTGTTTTGGGACTGGTTGGTATGATTGGTTGGGGTCCCGGGGGCCTCGGATGGATTCCGGGTGGTTAACGGATCAAAATTGGAATTTGGAAGAGAGCTGAAGGCATCTGGTTGCTGGTGTTTTCGCTTCTGCGGTTGGTTGACCGCAGAAGCGAACGGGGAGCCGCAGATGCGGTTTTTGGTCCAAAGCTTGAGGATCACAGATGCGGTCGAAATTCCGCAGAAGCGAAACCGCATCTGCGGAATGGGCATCGCAGAAGCGAGAAAGGGCGGCATGGGAAGGAGCCGCAGAAGCGGCCTTTGGACCGCATAAGCGGAACCGCTGATGCGGCATGGCTTCCGCAGAAGCGGAAATGACTGGAAGCAGAACCTTGTTTTAAATCGTGGGATTGAGTCCCATTTCTTCATGGCTTGGGCGATTTTTGGGGAGCTTCAAGAGAGGGTTTTGTCGTCAATGTTGAGGTAAGTTATCCGCACCACTTTTGAGTTGAATATATCAATTATATATGGGTTTAAGCATGGAAATTAGAGTAAATATTGAGGTTTTGGTTGAAAACATAGAAAATTATAATCTTGGATTTTAGCCATGATTTTGAGTATGGAATTAAGAGAAAATTTTATATTTCAGTTCCTAAGGTCATGGGTAATCTTTATCTTCGAAAAATTTCGGATTCCGGGCACGTGGTCCCGAGGGCATTTTGGTCATTTCTCTAAGCGGAGTTGGGAATTTTTATAATTTGAAATGTTAACGAGTATTTGAGCATGTTCTCATTAGTTTGTCGTTAAATGGCTAGTTTTGGGGCATTGGGCGTCGGTTCAAGCCTTTGGAAGAATGTAGAATGCCGGTTATGAGTCTTCGGAGCGAGGTGAGTCTCCTTTCTAATCTTGAGAGGGGGAAACTACCCCATAGGTGAGTTAAATTGATTATGTGCTCCTATTTGTGGGGGCTACGTAAGCACGAGGTGACGAGAGTCCGTGCGTAGCTACTATTATGCTATTGTCCGGGTAGTCTAGAACCCAAAAAGCATGTTATACTTGGATTACTGTGAACCCATTGGTAGTGGAATTTTTTAAATCACCTTGAATTGGTAAAGGAATTTAAAAAGAGATTTAATATTAATTTTCCCTGAAATGTTAAAAAAGAGAAACTTGTCTATTTGGACGATTATCCTCGATAAACTCTTAATTTCCTACTTGAGCATGTATTTTATGTGTGCCTGCGTCGCATGGATGATTAGCGAGCAGGATATGTGTTTATTTATGGAACGGGCCGAACGCCTCGGTGAGAATAGATGCATCTATGGTTCGTGCCGCTCGACCCTCGGCAGTGCACAATTTACATTTCTGTTGGAGCGGGCCGTCGACCTCGGCATGATTTGCGCGTGTTTATCTATTACTTGAAAATTTTTAAACGTGGAATTGGCCCTACGTGGCTTGATATAAACTGATAAGATAATAAAGAACAAACTTTAGAAGCCCTGGATTTATTGTTGAAGGTGTTTACCTGTTTTTCTGGCTTCACAATCAGAACTTCTATACTAATCCATGACTTTCCTCGCACTTATAGAACATTGCTAATTGACCTCTAGTGAGTGTCGGAGTTGGCCATCTCGTCTCTACCCTTTCGGGATTAGGCGGGATACTCACTGAGTACACGTTGATTACGTACTCATACTACACTTCTGTGCATTTTTGTTGCACAGGTATATATACCTCTAGCAGCCTATTGGGCGTAGCAGCACGGACGACTCTAGGACTATGTGAGCTGCATTGTTCGAGACGACCTGCAGCCAGTGTAGTTCCTTTCAGCATTTTATTATTTATTCCCTGTCCACTGTATTTCAGACAGATGTTGTATTTTACTTTCCTTATCGATAGTTGCTCATGTACTTGTGACACCGGGTTTCTGGGATGGGTTTCAACGGATTTGTACTAATTGTTATTATTTAAATTTGATTTCAAGTAGTGAACTTTTATCTATGAAAATGGAAGGAAAAACCTTAGATTTTCAAAAGTATTAAAAGAGGAATTAATTGATAATCTAGTTGGCTGGCCTGACAGAGGTTTCCGGTGCCACCACGACCCTTAGTGGATTTTGGGTCGTGACAACATGGTATCAGAGCACTAGGTTCCCGTCGGTCTCATGAGTCATGAGCATGTCTAGTAGAGTCTCGCGGATCGATACGGAGATGTCTGTACTTATCCTCGGGAGGTTACAAGGCTGTTAGGAGTACTTCCCTTCTTTGTTTCTTTATCGTGCGGTTCAATTCCCTTGAGG